GTTTCTCCTCAGTGTCCCTCCCTGACTCCATTACAAGTAATTAGATGAAATTCTTGTTTGTTACTATATATATAGGTGATATTTTAATTTGATCCTTCATTTGTGTTTTTTTTCCTATTTAATTTTTCATTATTATAATATCTATTAATATATTTTTTGTATCTCATTTTTTTTACCCAAAATTTAATGTTAGGTTTAATAATTTTGAAAGAAAGGGTAATAAACATAAATATTAGATTTAAAAATGAAATCTTAGATAAAAATAAAATAAGAACAATATAGGTGGGGAATAAGTTAATTATTTAGAAAGTACTCACCCGGTCCTGAATATAAGACCCATTTTATAGTTTAAATTACACTATAAAATGGGTTTTATATTTAGGAGCGAAGGGAGTATAATTTAAAACCAGAATACCAAGAGGATCAAATTGAACTTTTTTTTCATTTGATCAAGAGTTTTCCCTTTCATGAGTTCAAACGTAAAAGGTTTTTGCTTCTCCTGAAAAATGTGTTTTTTGAAATTTGAATTTGTGTTCTCCTCTTAACGCTATGTTTGGCTTGACGGAGGGGAGGGGAGGGGAGGGGAGGGATTTTAATCAAGGGAAGGGGAGGGGAGGGAGGGGGAAGGGAGGGGAGGGATTTTAATGATCTCCTGTTTGGATTGATTGGAGGGGAGGGGAGGGAGCAATTTTAATAATACCTTATTTTGTTCTAATAAAAAATTGACTATTTTAGCCTCATAAAATTTAAATGAATTTTCTCACCTTTTATTTTGTTAAGATATAACTATATATATATAATACAATTCACTAATTTTGATTTACAAGATACAGTCACACACTTATAGAATATCAAGACAAAAACTCACAAGTGATAGATTTCAATCAGAGAAAAGACCTTGAAGGTGAAAGAAAATACCAACGGCCTCTTAGAATTAAAAGAAGAGAAAAAAAGTTTACAAATGCTTACTAATTTTGGAGATAATTATCTTAATAACCTCTTATTAGATGCTCAAAAGAACTCTCTTATGTAGAAATGTTTATGACTGATTAGAAGTTAACAAATCAAAAGGGCATATAAGGAATTAAAATATCATCTCTCATCTCCCCTCCAAAAAACCCCACTTTTGGAGGGGAGGCTAGAAGGGAAGGGGAGGGGAGAAAAACCCCTCCCCTCTTTAAAAAACATCTTAACCAAACGAGGGGAGGGGAGGAGCTCCCCTCCCCTTCTAAAAAATTATACCAGCCAAACAAGGGGAGGGGAGCAACTTCCCTCCCCTCCTCTCCGAAAACCCCGTACCAAACATAGCGTTAGAAAATGAGGTTGGTTACCTCGAAGGAAAATTGAAAATTTACATATATAATAAACATAAAGAAAAGAAGAATTTTCCCCCTTAACAAGCACATGTAAATTAACATTGTGTTGTATGTGGTTGGAAGGATGTGAAATATGATTAATGCTATTTTCTCCATTGATGTCGGCAGCTACAAAATTTCTCTTTCCATCGTACATTAAAGATTGAATGTTTTTAAAAAGTACTCCTCCGGTCCTTAATATAAGACCCATTTAACTAATTTGATTAGATTAAGAAAGTTAGGTAAGTTAGTTAATTATAAGAAATATGACACGTTTTTCCTAAAATACAATAATCATATTTTTTAATACCTTATCTTTCTCTTCTACTTGATTATGGTTGAAAGGGTATCCATAGGGGTAATTTAGAGATAATTGATAAATATGAGAAATGAGTCTTATATTTAGGACCAAAACAAACTCACCAATTGAGTCCTATATTAAGGACCGAAGGAGTATATTTTTAGCGTTTAACACTAAAACCATTAATAAAAAAAAATAATGATATTGATATTTTAAATGTTGATAGAATATTCTCAGATAGTAACATATTAAGTTTAATTTTCAAAATATCTATAATTATTTACAAAAATCATCATTTAAGACTAATGATTTTAGGGTTAAAGAATTAAAATTATGCTTTTTAAAATTAAAAGAACAAACTGAAATCTTATTTGAAATTAAATCACCAAACGAATACTTTGGCCTAATTTAAATAATCATTTGCACACATTTGCACATAACTCTTCCAATTTAAGATTTGAGTTTTTTTTAATGACTAATTAAGCCAAATTTTGTAAAAAAATTACAAACACCAGCTAGTAACTAACACAGTTGTCAGTTGATTCAGTTTATAAGAAATTTACCTATAAGTCACAAAAATATGAATTTAAGCATCATTATGATTTATGAACATGAAAGCGTCTTATTGATAGATATATGCTAGCATTTAAGGGTCTGATATGAAATCGTTGAAGAGAAAATTAAAGTAAGACGGTGGAGAAGCTATTACTTCGCTGATAAAGAGATATGATAATACTCACATTTTATAAATGCTGTAGATGAAACCAGTTGCTTATTACTCTTCCGGTCTTTAATATAGAACTCAATTATTGAATTGTTTTGATCTTAAATATAAGACCCATTTATCATATTTATTAATTTTTTTTAAATTACTTATATGGATACTCCCTCACTCATAATCGAGTAGAAGAAGAAGATGGGATATTAAAAAGGATTATTATGGTATTTTAGGAAAAACGTGTCAGATTTTTTATAATTAACTAACTTATCTAACTTTCTTAATCTAATCAAATTAGTTAAATGGGTTTTATATTAAAGAGCGGAGGAGTATTTATAGAGAATGGTAAGTTTTTGTTGGCCTTAAACCAAGAGGAAGTAATATATTAGTTTTCCCTTAAAATTTAATAACTTTATAATTTTATTCCCATTTAATATACAAAATAATATATTAGGGATAAAATTATACACATACTAAAATTGATAAGATAACTTATATTAAGGACAAAAAATGTCATTTCTCCACCTTACAAATAGGACATATATTTAACTAGTTGTATTTAAAAGTACCTTATAATAACAAATAAATGATCGAGGTTTGCCTGGTACTATTCACCAAAAATAAATGGTTTGAGCCTCTTAACTCAACTAACACCAAATACTTTTCTTAAAGTTTTATTGTGTGGAGTTGTGCCTTCACATTAAAATTCAACAATGAAATATGATTTGCATAATTGTTTTTAAAAAAATTCAATAATGAAATATGGAAATATAAAAATAAAATTTTATATAAAAATATCTTATTTACATTAAAAATTAAGAAAAAAATAATAATTCAGATAACCCTAACTTTTTTGAGTTCACATGTGATTAAAAATAGTCACAGCTGGAGGAAACTCATAAATAGAGGGGGGCCATATAAAAATCAATCGTATTTATTAAATGAAAAAGTGGTCCAATTTGATGCTTCTATTTAATAATTTCAGGATCCTCAGACACAGGGATTTTGCTCTAAATATTTTAATCCCCACACACACACGCACACAAAATAATCAGGAATAAGCGGCATCCATTGATTTAATGTTGACTTTTTGGACGGCAAAGATGACGTTTGGGTTGGATTTTATTATTAGAAAGTTGCATATATGATTTTTTTTTTGTATAAAGTGAAGAGTTTTTTTTTTTAAGAGATTGTATTTGTATATGCACATTAACTAATAAGACGAACATGTTAACTCTTATTATATTTCTTCCGGTTCTAATTATAAAACCTTATATATAGTTTAAAAATGTTATTTTATAATTAGGATCAAAATTAATATTATATTATCTGTATTAAATATGATCATCAATATTATTCATGTTTTTTGGCCAATTATTATCTATATTTTTTTTAGATGATGCGAATATTAGTTAAACCTAATAGAATTCCGCGGATGCCACAAGTTAGAAAGGAGTTGATGTATATTTCATAAGGACATTAAGGGCCCGTTTGGGATCATGTTTGGGGGCCCAAACGTGTGTTCCCATCTGGCTTCTCATGTGGCTGTGTTTTTAACATGTTTGGATTCGCAGTGGGCTAATCTGACTTCTGGGGTGTAGATGGACTTCTGGGAGAAGCTGATTTGGATTGCTTTTTTTTTTTTTTATGCTGGTGCGTTTGAGAAAATCGTTGGAATGTTTTATTAGGGTGTTAAATATTTTTACCTACCTGACCCTCCTCCGTGATTTTTCTCTCACTTTTAATAATTTTTATTTTCCTTACTTCTTAAAAAATAGTCACATTATATATATATATATATATATCTAATATTATATATGTACTATTTAATAGAATTCATGTCCTTTTAAGTCATTTTACATCCAAACTTACTTTTACATTTATCATCCAAACAAGTTTCAACTTCTCAAACTGGCTTTTTTTTAAAACTCAATCCAAACATAAATCACATTATCCTATCTAACTTTTACTCAATCTAATTTCTAGAAAAGTCATATTGAAAAAAAAGTTACTTCACCACCGCTAATCCAAACACACCCTAAGTCATGTTAGGATCGTGAGGATTTTGTCGAGTATTATATTCTCCTTGGGTTTTGAATACAAAATTTGGCTGATAGATTATTTTGATTATACATATAAGATTGCTATTAAAAGGAAATTTGGCAGTTTTAAGACAAATAATTTAAAACATTATTTTAAAAAACCGACACACATTTAAAAAAAACTAATTTATTTAATTTTATTAATTCTTGTGAATTACTCCTCCTGTTTTAAATATAAAATCCTTATACTAGTGTATATAAATATCTTATATTTAGGACCAAAATAGTACTTATTTAACTTCTACATTTAGTATGAAAGAAAATAATATTTTTACAAGCGCTTTTTAAACCATGAAACTTGCTCTAACTTTAACCAACTTTTGAAATTCAACTCATCTAAATTAAAAACACATTACACGTATCATTTGATTGCTATAAAATTCATAGTAAACCATGTTATTTAAAAATCGCAACATGCATTTATTCATTAGTTGTTTCACAAGAAAACAAGATATGGAAAAAAAAAGTGTCTAGGGAATAATTAAAGGGTGCAGCGACAAAAAGAAATGCACCAAAACAGAAAATTAGTTGGGTAATATCATCACATCCCCCCTAAACTGGTCATAATTTCCATTTCTTTCTCTTTTCGTAGCCGATAAGATAAACTCCATTGACTTCAAAACATCTTAAAGGGTATAGCATTCATTACTGTCAAACAGTTCTATGAATTATCTAAACTAGCACTCATCTGCTATTTTCTTTTATCTACATCATCCAACTTCAAGAACTTATATTGACATCATAATTCTACAAAATTGTTAATGCCAGATTAACAAGCATATGCAATCCAGCATCCTCAACACAAATCTCGGATATCGTAAAAGGCTCTTCTTCTTCTGTCACCTCAACCTCATAATGAAAATTGCACACAGCAACTGATTATGGACCACAAGTGCGCCATATGAACCATATTGCTCCACGAAACTTCAAGCCTTGTCCTTTGAAGCTCTACAGGCAGAGGAGGAGGTGGTACCACACAAAAATGACAGATATCTTACCACTGAGACCTAGTTCCTCGGATTAATTTATTCTGCAGTTGCTGTCCTTTTCTCCGTCACGGACTCCAAAAACTCCGAGCACAACTTGTCGAGCTGCGGCAGAGAGTGTGTTGAATAGGGAAATATGGCCTCCCAAGGCTTCTCAGACGGAGCAGCAGACGAAATCAATGGAAAGCTGCTTTTTTTCAAGTTAAACTCTGGTAACTTTCCATACAGAGATGCATATCCATATTGTCCTGAAATCGAGGAAAAAAGCAAAGATAAAAGGCATGAGAATTATACATTTAGAACCTATTATAACTAGTTTCATTGTCTGATGTTCAACTTGCTATATTCTAAATCTATGGCAAAGATTATTAATATCCACATTGGAGAAATATAACACGTGAACTGATTTTAAACCAAGTATTAAGGAGGCAATCCCACCTGTTTCTTCAAGTGAAGGGTCATCTCGCCTAGTTATGCTCAGCTCACGAATTTCCTTGCCATATGGATCAAAGAGGACATATTCACGATCTCCGCTTATATAGGCAAGCAATGTCTGTGATGGATTTCCATCATGTACATCAAGTTCCAAGGAATACGGATCTCCTTTGATAAAAGCAATCCTCCCTCCCTTGGCCTGCGTGCAAAGGATCGGAAAATCAAACAGAACAGTCAAACACAGCAAGTCTTTTTCCAGAAAAGACAATAATCCAAACCAAGTACTATAATGTGTTTTTATTTTTTATGTCATGAATATCTAGCATTTGCCGCGAGTAAGGAAAGAGGAAGGACTATCGTTATGGTTAGCAAATTTGATGGAGGAATGGGCCTCATCAAAATTACATGGTGCTTCCCTCTAAAATGACTACTTAAATTAATCCTTCGTAAAGTAACTTTCAACTTAGTCCCTCTATATCCTCCCAATCATTTTTATCCCCTTGGCAAGATCAAACTAAGATGCTGGTCAATTGACTTCAATTATCAGGAAAAAATTATTGACGGAATAAATAGAGGTTACGCTTTGGAGGACTCAGCAATATGTATAATATCTTTTGAAGAGTAATAGCAGTGTGTATTTATAAACCATTCTAGAGATGCTGAATAAATTGTTCTATTGGTATGCCCACATTTAAATTCTTGAAATAGAATGACATTGGTTTTCCCCTTTTTTTCTTGAGAGAGCGCTGAGGAATGAGAACATATCGGGGTTTGAAAACAAACAATACCTTTGTTACAGACAAGGAAGTCACAGGAACAGGATCTGTTGCATTGAATAGCAATATTATTCCATCTCCTCCAAATGTTCGTTCATTTGATTCAGGAAGGAGAGCTAGAATGGCAAAAAGTGATAAATCATTTGCATACGATACAGCTGCACAAATAACAGTGTCAGATATAAATTTCCTCCAAAGAGGCATAGGTTTTGAAACAAAAAAGGAAAACTGTTGACATGCCAAGAACAAAAGTAAGCAATATACTCATTAGCGTTTGCATAATACAAGTGACTGCAGGAGGAAAGAATGAGTGGAGACTTGTATGACCCAAATGTTGTCATATTTCTATAGCAGAAATAACAAACAAATGCCTCTTAGGAAAAATATGCATATACCTTCTACTTGAATCCTGTATGACCAACATTCAGCTAACTTTGACATACTCAAAACGCCCAGCCGTGGTTTTGAACCATGAGATGCATACAAAAGACAATCTGAATTTCCAGCAAAGGTAAGGCTAACAATCGGCTGCAAATAAGGAATGCAAGAATAAGTGAGACTTTAGAGTGATAAGTACTGACAGCAACCAATACCAATAATAAATATACAGCACAAAAGTAACACCATTTTATCAAACAGATGGGGAGGGAGAGGCCCAGAATAGATAGCTACAAGTGAACACAGCAGATGGCAATTCTTCTATAAAGAAGATGCAATTCCTTTACACTAATTATCTTCTATATGCAATACCAGTAATGCTAGGGCAAGGTAATTAACCAACAATAATGCAGGGTGGATTAGCGTTTAATTCTGGAATACTATCAGCAAACTATCTAGAGAACCATGATACAATGATCTGCTGGAGCGGTTGCCACGACTCACTTGTTGATGTGAATTAAAAGTTCAAAATATATGCCCTTTTTTCTTGGCTAGTAAAAACATATGATACTTGGACATGAAACAAATTATGAAAAAAAGATAGTTAGGATTTGACAAAATACCGTTGGAGATTGTCCTACAACTGCGACAAGTGTATTTTTATCAGGGTCCCACAACGTAATAACAGTTTCTGCAGCAACTGCCAGAACGGAGCCATCAGCTGAAAATGCAGCTGCTGTCATTGGTTTATCCCTACAAGTGCAAGTGGAATGCTATGGTGTCAGCATGACAATGAAGTTGTTTGATCATTAACTTACCATTAATCATTAATCTTACAAACAGAAGAGTAAAAGCATACTTATATGACCCAACGGCATGGCATGTCCAACCAGAGTTTAGAGTCTTTTGGTCATTCTGCTTGGTTTCATGCTTGCTAACCCATATCTGGAACATGCAAATCAGATATATAATTGTCGTCAAAGCAAATATTCAGCAACAATTGCAACTTTACCCAATACCTTGAAATCCCCTCCATAAGATGAGCTGACAGCCATGTGACGGGTAGGATGGAAAGCAATAGCAGATAGTTGAGCATCCCTGTCAACAAACGAACTGTCAACTTCATATCATGTGACATTAAACACCAAATTCAGCTTAAAAAGCAGTACAACTCTCTAAGAACCATAGGATAGTATATCAACCCCTATAACACATGACCGGTCCTGTCACTAGTGTTATGCTTTCACGACGTATTCAGACACAGCAAAGCATACAACTATCAATAAACTTCTATGAGACTTCTTACTTTAGTTTTTACAATAATCAAGGGGCAAACCTGTGAGGTTCATAAATAAGGGTGGACACAGTAAATATTTTGTCATCTGAATCCAATTCCCAGAACTTCAAACAAATTAGACCTCCTATATCTTCTTCAGGGAGCTTAACCTCAACAGTTCCCATCACAGTACCATCAAGAGAGAGCTCCACCAAGGCCACTACCACCTGTAACCACAACAGCATAATAGTAAGACAACCATCCAGTTACTGATAAAGTATATGTTAACTTATAACAACATTTTGTGTATATAATTTATAACAAGTCATTATATTATGCCAGTAGAAATTGCAACTTTGTAAGCAAATTCACGTACCGTGACTTCATCACCTGGCTGATGGTTTCTTTCACAGACTTGAACCTGCAAGAGAAGAAAATATTTATTAGCAACCTACAGAGTATATTCTTATATGGGTCTTTTCTATGCCAATGATGGGATGCTATTAAACCTTAACGGTAATTATAAATTAATTCAGAAAATAAAACCCAGACTCAAAGCAAGATAAAATTTGCTCACAGCATAATAAAATATATACCTGAAAGTTGTCAAGGAATTACTGCAAAATTGTCTGATTTAAAAAAAAAAAAAAAGCAAGGTAAAAATGACCTAGAAGAAAGAAGCTAAAACCAAAGATTCTTTACAGGGACACAATCAGGGGGTAAAAATGCTTTACTAATATTCTTCTGAGTTCAAGGCAAGGTTTTAAACAGAATCAAGGAAGAAGAAGAGGCTAAAAGCAGAGATTCTCAGCACAACCAAAGAGACCCATACTCCCCACTACTACATACGGGTAGAGCCAAGAAGCCATCTGCTACAAAAATCCTCAAGACATAAGCTCCAAAATAATGAGCAATTTATCAATTCTAACATTAACCAGTCTAGGTTTGTCAATGTCAAGTAATAAAATCCAAATCAAGTGATAACAACACTAAGCAAGACAAGTATTAAGGCACCATTTCAAGCAGTTCAATCTAGCAAGCTTGAAACACTATTACCTCATAAAGTCCACGATCAGCAAGCAAGCTGTAGAATTGGATGGTGTAGTTCTCTGTTTGTACAGCAACTAACCCAGAATTGCAGTCAAAGGCAGGCCTGCCAGCAAGACCTCCGCATATGTCTTTAGAAGATAGAGGGGGCTGAAAAGTAAGCACAGAGGTTCAATCAAGTTCAACCATGTCAATTTCAACAAATGCGAGCAAAAATATATTATTTCTATTGGAAACAAATTGAACACATTTGCAAAGGCATGAAATGTTTTCTCTCTCTCTTCATCTTCTATAGCGTTGTTCTGACGTTTATAATCCTGTTTCAGTCAAAGTGACTATGAATACCTATTAGACTAGAAGTAGTATGGGCTTTTGCGAATGTGCGATGTGAGCTTAGGCCCAAGTCTAGTTTTAGTAAGTCAGTCATCATGCATTAGAGATTCAAAATAAACTGTTTGTCCACTAATGCACCTATGGTCTATAGCTATTCATAGCCACAGGTCCATAATAATATTCCGAAATTCTTAACTTCTTAAAAAAGCATATAACATTGTCTGATAATCAGCACTGGCAGCATTTCAATCCATTAGAACATAGGCAAGAAACAAATAGTCAAGTACTAGCGAATAATGGTAAGAGCTAACCTTAATCCCTGAAATTGACCTCAATATTTCCATGGAAGGCATCTTCAGGACATGAATCTGATTATCTGCACAGGATATCTGAAGACCCTCAATTAGTAAGCCAGTATGATCACCTACTTAACATCCAATTATATGTTCTACTGAAAACCAAAAGAAAAAAGGTTTTCCTTACAGAGGCAAGTGAAGGATCTGGAGAATCAATGAAATACAAAAGTGGAGAGCCAATTCTTGGTAAGAATTTCTTCTTTCCTGTGTCCAACTGCCACACCACAAGGACTCCTTCCTTCCCACCTTGTAAAAATCAAAGAGATAAAAAACAGAAAGTTATACTCTTGATGAACATCTAGCTAAACAACAGAACTTGTATTGCTTCTGCATGAAAAAATGTATTCATTACTCAAATAGATATAAGAAAACTTTGAACCTCAAAGACATTTACTAAGTCATATATAGTGCCTAATGGCTGCAGATGTTCTGGTGTTAATCATCAAACACAAGACATGCCACATAAGGATTAGTTTACATTAGATTCAATCGATTTTGAGAACAACCTAAGTCTGGCAAATAAGACACTAAGCTACATGATTTGATATTTAAAATTAAAAAAAAAAATTCATAAAGCTTTTCCCTATGCAGGAAGTACCCTTTACTACCATGACACACAATCCAGATGCATACCGGAATACAAGTAAGCTCCATCTGAAGAAAAAGAGAGAAACATCACCCCAGCAGGGTGCCAATGCCAAGTGGAACATGACTCAGCATCATCATTGTCCCTGACCCCAGGTTTGTCTCCCTCATCATCAGCTGATCTGCTATTCATTATTCCACTTCTGACAAAAAACTTCTGTGTACCAAATCCTCTCCAAATTAAAATTCTTCCAGATTCATCACCTGCAGCCACGATTCTCTCTACTGGGTGGAATGCAAGACATGAGAAGGCCTTTGTATGATGCAAAGTAATACTCTTTAATGCAATAGAATTGGAGTCCACTGTAGGAACTTGCCATATATGAAGCCTGCGTTTGTTTTTTATACCAAAAAATTTTCCTGAAGGACTAGTGATCAACGATTGTGGCCTTTTAGTCTGTCAAAAAGTGACCAAACAGTCATGCATGTAAATAATAACAATGGGTAATTCAAAAAGAAATTACATCTTAACATGACACATAAGTAATTCTAATCACACAAAAGTTGGCTCCCCACTCACTAAAGAAAAACACACCTCTTGTGAAGGTGCCAACATAGATAATAGAATTTGAGTTTTGACACCCGATTAGTAACCCAGTAGAACCCAAGAAAAGGTGTGTTATTTTGTGACCAAATTTGGCGTGTGTCACATCACTACTCTAATAAAGTTGAAGATATAAAAGAGGGTGAAATGACTTAAATTAATTCCAGTACAACAAAATATTATTACAGCTAATCAGAGCTCTAAATATCACTATCACAATCATTACACAATAAATCCTGTAAAACAAGCAAAAAAATTGGTACAATGCTTTAGAAAAACATGTCTTTCCTGCCTATCCATCTCTTTCCACCACACAGAATTTCTTGTTCTTTTTTTTTTTTAATGCATATCACCTGATCGTCATTGTTTTCTTTTCTCTTCGTGGACGGTAAGAACCTATTCTGCATCTGAAATCATTATCTCTATTTATCACTCACTAATCAAGTTAATTCAGAAACATGTTGAACGGTTAAGTTATCAGGAGGGAAAAAAATTCTTTGATTTCATGGAACTACTAAAAAAAAAAAAGAAAAGAAAAAACAAATGCTGGTGGAGCTGTGCTTAACAGAATATCTGGAAAAAAAAAAAAAGGGAATACACATCTATCATATTGTAATAATAATATAGCATTTTAGCTTAACATTGCTCTCAACTAAACTTGGAATCATCCATGAATTAAAGCAAGAAGTCTTAGGACTTAAGACAAGGGATTTAATCACATTCAACCCTTTTAACATTTAAGGGTGACTAAACTAATAGCAACATAACAGCAACGGATTATGTTGGATGTGCACTGCTGATATGCGAATCCCACCAGTTTAAATTTGGGAAATAGAAAGAAACCCATAATCTCTATCAGAACAAAAGCATCAAATATTGTATACGTTGCTGAAATAACACAAGGGGAGCCAAACAGTGATACGATGATATTGAGACAGAAAATAGGGTTTGCAGAGTTTAAAGCACCCAACTCACCTACTGTCACACATTAGAAAAAGCGAAGTTCAGGCCAATACAAGTGGATGTCAAACGCCCCCCCCCCCCCAAAAAAAATACCAACATATCATCCGTCACTATCACAACCTCATGCAAACAAAGAAACGCAAACACTGAACACATGTACTCAGCAACAAAAAATGATAGCAAAGGACATATGGATGCCAACTTTTATAAGGTGGGCTCTCTAGCACCAAAACCAGATCCAAATTCTCCTTCCCTTTCCTTCTCAGTTTTTCTCTTCACAGACCCCTTCAACAAATCTTTAGCTGCTTCTCCTACCTCAACAAAGTTATTCCCATATTTTGCTCCTTCAATTTATGTTCTTTTGTGCATAAACTTTTTGGTCCTTTGTTGGGCCATCAGTTCCACCTCATTCTGCCCTCAGTCATTGTCTTGTGTCTTGCATTGCATGGTTTAGTAACAACAGTGGCTTCAGACCCATCAGAAACAAACAAGTTTCTTTATTTTACTTCACACATAATTCAAGTTTGTCATCAAATATTCGTCAATGATAGTTATGGGTAAAGTAGCTATGCACACAAACTAATTTAGAGTGTGCTAAGAGAGCAGAACATAAACAAGAAGCATCATTTACTACTTTGGGCACTCAGATTTTAGACAATCCTCAACAATATCAATGCATTTAACCACAGTATCAAACATTTCCCACTAAATATGATTCTTTAATAGATGGACTAGACTATATGACCATTCCACGTATGATACAGCCATTTAAAACTTTGCATCATTCAACAATCATCCCTTTTTTTTTGGAAAGGGACAATTACACAAACCGCCCAACCCATTACAATCCTCCCCCGTAGAGGGGGAAACTCATACACACAAAACACCAGCAAAGGGGTATACGCACCTACAGTGAACTTGCAGCCTCCCTCTTTTTGAGGGGTGCGTGATGCCAATGTAGCACTAGCCCACAGGCATTCAACAATTATCTGGTTATACTATTACTAACACCCTTTAAAAGTATAAAAATGTCTATACAAAAGAAAGAAGAAGCAGATTTACTTTCAAACTTGGGAGAATTACAATCAAATTCCATGGAAGGAAAAAAAAATTACAAAACAAGTTCCAGAAGTTGTTATTCTCCGTTGTAGAACTTGTCATTAGGGTGCTCAGGTTATTATTGGAACCTTTTAGTAATTATTTCTCTTCTATGGGACTTGATTGTAATTCTCCCTTCAAACTTTACCTCTTTCAAAATTAGTTTGCTCATCTGGGACTTTGTTAAATTACACTTCCTGATCTGTCCACAAAGAGCTTTGGACCGGTTGTTTGCTGCCTTCTTATCTTCAACAGACACATAAGCAAAAGTATCAAGTGTCTTCGCATTGATCTCTTCTGACTGGCTTAATAAATATGAAGGTATTACCTAATATTCAAAATTTATTCAAAAATAGAGTCAGCATCAGTCTACTTCGATAAAGATGCATGAAAAAGTGAGCATAATAGGGCAATATAATCATTTGGTTTCCAAAACAGTCCCACAAGGGTCGCATTCCTGATCAATTTTCAAGGCACAAGCCCAATTTATTCTCTTCGTATGAAACAAAGCGATGAGCTTCAACAGCACTGTTTTCCTATGATTTCCATTGCATAATCTAAAGTTTCATCTCACAAACTTAATGAGAGCATAACGCTACCATGGAGAAAATGGGTAGCTGAATATCAACTGTCTGCAGTAATTCTGGTGTTGAAAAGTCCCATTTCCGAATGGTTCCATCAAGTGAAGCAGTCCAACAGTTGCATAAAATCTTTTTATCAGGGCTTGAAGCTGGCTCCACTATCACGGACGTGACAAGCGCCGTATGTCCTTCCAATGACGATACCTAAGCATTAAACGAAACAGGAAAAAAATAGAAATTGAACAACTTTCTTGGAACTTATAGCAAGCACTAATGATGATGGAAGTGCATGGGACCTGTAAACCCGTGGAGGTGCTGAAGACAGAGACGGTATTGCCTGTGCAAACCAGAAGTCGTCTGGCATCATTGGAGAAGGCAGGAGGCGCAGACACATAGCTTTTACCTCCTCTAATCATATTCAATCAGTAAGGAGAAGAAACAATACAAATAAGCAACCAGAATCTACACCGCTGAAGTTGAAGAATGATAGAAGGAGGAGGGAACAAAAAGCTAGGGAGGGAAGCAAGGACAGCAACTTCGCAGTAGGGAGGCGGCACAGCTAAACTTCGAACTGGTGGCGGACTTGGCATAAAAGAGAACGAAGATGGCATACCAGGTGACTTTCCCGGGCCGAACGATGGCCCAGGGTTTTGGGCCTGGGGAGAGATGGGCCTGCTTTCTATAATACGTAGAGTGCTACTTTTTAAAATTTATTACATTTTTTGACCAGCCACTTAATTATATATTTCATTGATTAATATCCAATTCTGTCAATTTAATTAGAATTGTACCTTGTATGTGTTGCCAAGGCTAATTAAAATTAGATGGAATCAAATTTAAGAAAAAGGAGTCTGATGTATATAATTTATACCTTTTTTATCACACGTCAAATTTTATGGCATATGACATGTTCGCAATAAAATAACGAGGAATTAATCATAAATATTTACACATCGAAAGCTTGTTTATTGATAAAGGTAAAACACATTATTTACCCATAACTTTTAAATTTCATAAAGTTGCAGATCTACGAAAACAGAGTTTGAAAAGTTATTGACAACACGTATGACATTACCAATCCAGTTTGGACGAAGCTTTAGGTTATAACCTAACAGGTACATTTTTTTTAAAATATAAAATGTCAATTTTATTCAAGTACTACCTTCGGTTCTTAATATAAAACCTGTTTGATTTTTATTTTAATCCTAAATATAAGATCCCAATTCACTTTGTCTCTCATATTTATATATATTTTTTCAAAGTAGCTTTTCTAATAATGATAGTTCTAGTCAATATATTTGATTAGCAAGGATATTTTAGGAAAGACAACACCTATTTAGGACAAATAACTAACTCAACTTACTTCTTTAATCTCCTCAAATTAATCAACTGGCTCTTATAATTAGGACCGAGGGTAGTATTAAATAAGATGATTACATGTAAAAGAGACTGGTAAGTTAAACTTGATCAACCTGAGCAAAACTCAAATAGATCAGGGGAAAAGGCTACCCCAAAATGACAGAAACGAAAAAACAGAACAAACTAATAACAAAATCAATCTAAGAAACTAACATAACAAAAACATAAAAATGAAAAGCAACATCACAGAAACTAAAGTAGTCTTGGTTTTGATTGTAGTTCCCAATTCTTACAAATAATTCGGAGTCAGACCAAAACTGAAGAGACTTGCTAAACTTACCGTTCTGATAAGTTGCATCATACGAAGAAACTTGTAGGAGCATGCACATGTCTATGTGTATTTAAAAATTGATTGTAACACAAATTTTAAATTATTTAAGCAGGGTATAAAATTAACCCCTTTAATACGACGTCGTCTATGTCCCCCCCGCTCTCACATTCCACGCTGCGGCAGCGACGTCCGTTTTCTCTGGGGCTGTGGAGCAAGCTCCTTCCGGTTGTCGTTCCACTTTACTTCGGTTGGGTCAGCGAGGGCGAGTGACATTCTATGATTGTTCCTCCTCTTCTTAGTTCGTAGCAGGTATAGTTTCTTTATCTCGAGGACGAAGTGGCGACTCCGCCATTGACCTGCACGCCGCTGATCTATTTCCTCTCTCCCGCGACTTCGAGTCGTAGTTTTCGAGCACCGGGTGGATGGGTCGTTGGGAATGAGTTAGCCTTTCTATCACTCAGTTGCTCTGCGTGAGTTCTGATTGCAATTTAGTGATGAATCTTGGAGTTGCTGCTTTATCAGTAACAAAACTGGAGAAACCAAGATTGTAAAACTTTCAGAAAGATCTTATTTGTGCATTGTGCTGGTGGAGCTGCAACTCCAAGATTAGAGATTCCAGAAAGAAACTCAGGACCTTTTTTCTTATTTGTGCAATGTGTCTTTTCTCTAGATGTTTTTATCTCCTTATTCTATGCTTTTGTTCTCTCCTCCAATTTGCCTTTTCTTCTACTCTCCCGGAGAGTTGGGGCACTCTTTGATTCTTTCACAGCCTTAATGCGTTTTTCATATGGTTGTTGATTTCGGTATTTCACCTGTGTAACTAAATTAAAGAAAATCCTTTATGGCATGAGTGAAATTGAAAAAGACTGCAAATGTATGAACTGCACAGGGTAGAAGCCTTCTCGTAAAAGGAATCCGCCGCCAGTTTTAACAATATGGAGGATTCCCCTCCGTCGGAACTTGAGTTCAGGGTAGGCCAACGAGTGCATGCATCTGGTGATTCACGGAGAATTGGCACAGTTAAGTATGTGGGACCTGTAGAAGGCCATCCCGGCACATGGGTTGGAGTTGATTGGGACAATGGAGATGGAAAACATGATGGATCCATCAAGGGGATACGATACTTTCGTGCAAAGTCTGAAAGATCAGGGTCATTTGTTCGTCCCCAGAATCTGAGCCTGGGCATTTCATTAGTGGAGGCTCTCGAAATCAGATATAGGGGTGACTCTACTAAAGATGAAGAGGGTATATGGAACCTTTAAATTCATATGTTGTTAAATTTATATAATATTGTTGGGGCCAGATTAATGCTGGGGGAAATATTGAAAATGGTTTCACATTGGTTTTTGACAAAAAATGAAAGGAAACCACCTCTATCGAGTAAGCTAAGGCTGTTTTCTTTTCTTCTGTTGTTGTTTTGTTGGGTTGTTGAATGAAGCTTCTTAACTAATGAAGAGGAGAAATGCTTAATCCCATTTTGTCAATTTTGTTGTAAACCTTGCAAGCGTCTGGGCTTCGTGTTAATTACCTTTTGGGATAAATTCTTAGTTTTGTAGATATTAATTAATAATTAATTGACTTTCTACTGGGCTTTTGGGTTGCCTGATCATGGTTTTTGTTAATTCAATGTCCAGAATTTTACCACTTCATGTGATATTAAGCCACGGGACTAATTTCCATTGTAACAACCATTTACATAATATTTTGAAGCTTTCTTCTCCCCTTTAGAACCTGTTAACTCTTAATCTGTACATACTTTCTTATTATGCTGATTAGACCCAGAACATTAATTGGTGATTTCCATGTACTTTTCCCGCAGATGAAATGTATGTTCTTTCAGCTAGCAGCAGACGAGTCTCTATACAACTAGTGGGAAAAGATAAAGTTCAGGATAAACTAAGTCGATTCGAGGAACTGACCAGGGCATCACTATCATATATGGGTGTTAGTTCCCCTGGAATTCCATGTCATATCAATACTACGGTTCCAAGTAAGCTTGACCTTGATTCTAAAATTTTCACTTTATTTCATTGCACACATTAGAATGAATGAATGTGGAAGTTATCTCCCATCTTGTAGAAGAGAGTGCAGAATCAGCAAATTGCTATATTTGAATTAGGTTTTGCATAATAAATTTTGGAAAAAATAGATTTTGCCAAAAGCTGGACTGGTGTGCTTCTCTAAAACCATGAGTTTGGAGTCTAGGATAAATTTTGGGTTTTAATGGGTGTTTGGTGAATTTGCTCGGAAATCATGGTTTGGATCAAAAAAGTGCTCATGGCATCCAATCTAAACACACACTAATTATACCTGAAACTATGTTAAGAAGTTCTGTTTCTTTTGTTCTATCTCTATATTTATATCCTGCTAGGCATTTTGGATATAGATAAGCAATTCCTTTGGAATTACAAGAGGGTGAAAAGTTAAAAGGAATATGAAGAAGTCCAGTTGAAATCGTCAACCTGCAATCACACACACACACACACAAAAGAAGAATATATGAAGAGAAAATTACGAGTTTGAATGCCTTTTTTATGGAAAAACATTGATATTTTCTTTTTATTACGTTAAATGTTACCTTTTCACGCTTTACATAATTCATAAACTTGGGAATTAACAGTGCCAAGATCTCAATGATCTGCTCTCTAACTGCAAGGGGTAGTTCTAATCCTGACGAGAAGATTTTTTACTCTGAGCTAGCTTATATTGAAGTGTTTTTCTTATCCTTCCCAACTCTTAGCCAGTAGTGCCTTGTCCTTTTGCTTCAGGGGTTCATAGGGGTTGGATACTCCTTTAACCTGCATTTTCTTCCTTGAACCCCTGTTTCTTGAAATCACATATTAAATGAATTCTCCTTTTTTGCTTTTTAGCTGGGTATTTGCAATTGGATCCACCTGTGTTCTCATAATTTTCTTTTACTGCAGATATGAAGGAACTTGATCTGACTGGAAATTTGCTTTCTGAGTGGAAGGTAAATTTTGAAAATGGTTTTGTGCCCTTTTTTGGCAGAAATTTTGCGGACAAATGTATCCTGTCTAAGCTTGGGCTTGCATGCTTTTCTTTTGCTGAAACATTGTTATCTTTAGGTTCGGATGCTTGTATTTATGCAGTTATCCACCTTATGTTTGATATTCTGATTGCAACTGATAGGAATCAGTTATTTATTTTATTTCTTTTGGGCATATATTTTTTAATTAAAGCATTAATTTGCATGATGTTGTTGCTTAGAGTAGCTGAATGGTATGGCAGTAATGGGTCATTTTAATTACGAATCTTCTTTGTTTCAATTTTTTTTCCTGATCCCTCTGCGTTCTCTGTGCTAAGGCTGTTACTCTCATTCAGTATATGATTTTCAAATTTGCTATCTCCTGGCCCATTGAAATGAAATTATTATGAGAAGAGCCAAAATTATAAAATATTATAAGATTTGCCGCTTTATGTCAGTAATAAGCATCGATGGTTGTTGTAGAACATCTATTGCATGTTATGTTCCTTGATCTGTTTACTTGTTGTGCCTTGCCTAGTTTCATATTGATTGGCGATTAATTAGCATTTCTCACTTGCTGATGATCTTTTGAAAGGATGTTGGTGCAATCTGCGAGCAGTTGCCTCTTCTTGGGACACTCAACTTATCCAACAATTTCATGTCACCATACACATCAGGGCTTCCTTTACTGAAGAACATCCATGTTCTGGTTCTAAATAGTACTGCTGTAGACTGGGTGCAGGTGCTTCTATTTCGTTTCTTGGTTTATGTCTTTTGCATAGGTTTTCTCAAGTTTTTTTTATTAAAGTTCTTATTTATTGTCTTTTTAATTAGGCAGGTTCAACTGCTTGGACAATCATTGCCAACTCTTGAAGAGCTACATCTTATGAGAAATAATATAAGCAGAATACTGGTATATAGTCTTTAATTCGATGGTGCTTGTTATATATCTTACGTAGGTTAGCTATTTACTTTTAGGTGCCTTGTCCCAACCAGCCTATTGGTTGATAACTTGAGAGAGAGCAGCTGATCACACACACACACACACACTGTTGTGACCCAACTTTAATACTCAACAGAACGGAGAACAAACTGACAATAATAAAGCGGATCAGTAATAAATGAGGAAAATCCTGAGGCTTTGATATTAATGTTTTAACACTGAATCAAGTTACAGCAAGTTTCCCTGATTCTAGCTCAAAGCCCTATTTCCCTGATTACAAAATAGACCACGACCAGCAACAAAACATTACACTGGAATTAACATGACAAACTTAAATACATCAGCTTCCCATGGCATTCGAGAGGCCAGATCTCTCCCTCAATATTCTCTCTAAAAACCTTCTCCCCCTCCGTCAGTTTTTTACAAAATAATATAGGCTCCCCAAAAGTAATTCTACCCACCCTACATGGTTTAAGACCCATACGGCTAGTGGCTAGCTGCCACTCAGAATTGTTCCTCAATTCCTGGAGCTCTGGGGTAACTGATTTGACCAGTGGTTTCAACTTCTTCCCTTGATTTTCTCATTCTCCTCCCATAAGTCTTCCTAATGCCGGCGGTTATATCACACACACACACAAACCTACAACTAGCTCACAACTTGAAGCATAATATCAAAATGTCCACATCCACCACATCACCAAAATATTGCCAAATTGATTGTAGATAAGATTAAAGCCTAAAAGGCTAAAACAAGTAGCTCACGGCATTGTTGATATCTTCTTTGGTATTACTCTGCCATTTGTATCCAATTAAGGAAAGCTAGCCAATATTTCCTATATGGCAAACAGCTATTTATGGGAAATTGGGAATCACAGTGTTAAAACATAACAACCCTATGATGGGTGGTAAAGTGATATGATGGAGACTTTATGGAATGGAAGTTCTCCCGTCTTCCCTTGGATATTTCTATTTTGACATTGAGATGATTACTTATTGGAACTTAGTTAATTATTTAATTTGATTATATATTGTGAGGGATTGTGTTATTTCTAGGTTGGACCGAAGAATAATATTCCTCTTATACTTTAATTCTCTCTTTCATGTTTTACGTTATGAAGTTCTACCATTTAAAGAAAAATTTGTAAATTACCTTTCTCATCCTCTTCCTCTTTCTGTTCAGCCTACGTCTTCCACTGTGGTTCAGGGATTTGATTCTTTGCGGCTTTTGAATTTGGATAATAATTGTATAGCTGAATGGGAGGAAATCATGAAGCTCTGTCAGCTAAGAAGGTTGGTAAACAAGAAAGTTTATGAGTAATTAGTCCCTTTTCATTTCTTTTGTTCTTTTCCTTCCCTAGAACCATTCTGTTGTCTAGACTAGTTTCAAGTCTGGGTTATTTGCTGATTTCTCTATTGGTGGGATTTGTTTTAGTTTGGAGCAGCTTTATTTGAACAAAAATTGTTTGAACGGCATAAATTATCCTGATCATGCTGGGAAGTATGAATCGGAAGTTACATGCCATAGGCCTTTTGAGAATTTGCGCTGTCTTCTATTAGGTAATATGGTAGTATTTCCTTTTAAATCATCCTGCCTACTGTTAAATGTATATTGACTGCCTATAAGTATTTTGAATTCATCCCTCAGGTGGTAACAACATCAGGGATCTGGCTTCTGTTGATTCATTGAATTTGTTCCCGAAATTGGTGGTAAATTTCATATCAAGAAGTGTTTATTATGCTCCAAAAATATTTATTTTGTAATTGTGGATTTTTTTTTAATGTAAGTACAACAACTAAAGATTTTTTTTTTAAATATAATTATCTGATATTCAGTACTCTTGCGTCACATTCAAGCATTACTGGGTCTAATTGAGTGTAACTTTCCCGAGGTGTTTTTTTTTTCATTTATGAGGTTCTTGCCCTTTTTTAAGGGAAACTGAGTTCCTTTCACTTGACCCAACCACCATTAGTAATTATGGGTGGTTGTTATTATTGAAATCTGTGAGTGATTGAAAGGGAGAGAAGAGAGCAAGTGGCAGTCCCTCAGTAACCTCTTCTTCCTCTTTCACATCTGTTTCAGACTTTCAGCGTTGTCTCCTTAATTTTTCCTCTTGTTTTTCTTAATTTCTCCTTCTCCCTCACAATCCTCATAATTCCAGCATTTGTTTCATCTCATTGAGGTCTCTTTGCCATTTCTCCATTCTCCACTCAGCAAATCTTCTTTGAAGTTCTTCCACCATGATTCCAATTTTTTCCTCCTCCTGAAATCAGCACCACTCTGATACCAAAAGCCCAGAAAGCAAAGATGGAGGTGACACAGGCTCCTAGCATCCTATGACTTTCCCTTCGGGGAAGGGTCTGCAAGAAAAGCTCACAAATGCTGAGATTGCTGAAAAAAGTGAATTGGGGCTTTGTTTCAATTGTGAAGAGAACTTGCTGAAATTGCTCTGATATGAAAATGATCAATTCAACTCCAGAATTATATTTTTAATATACTAAGGATCATTTTAACATAGCCAAAGATTATTCAAGTTTTATCTTGTTACAAATAAAACCAAACTAACACTCACTTAACACTGCCATGCTCTATCCCATGCTAGAAATTCTTATTTTGCTTGATCAAACCTTATGTTCTTATTATTTATTTTCAACAATACTAAAGGATGTCAGGCTTTCGGAAAACTTAATTACTGATCCTGCAAGAGGCGGAGTTCCCCGATTTATTTTGATTGCAAGATTAGCAAAAATTCAGATTCTGAACGGGAGTGAGGTAGATTTTGGTAGATTTTTCTGTTCCATATCTGCTTCCTTTATTTACTTCTTTTATGTAATCTAATGTTTTTATATGTTATTTACCTTACAGATTAGTCCTCGAGAGAGGAAGGACTCAGAGATTAGGTATGTTCTCATAATTTTATGCTTCCATGTGCACTTTGCAACTCAAGAATGCATGTCAAGCAATTTGTATTCTAGTATTTTAAAGTAGTGCTGCTTTTGATCTGGGTTTAATTTATTTACATCTCTTATGCAGGTATGTGCGGTTGGTGCTTTCAAGGTTGCTTGCTAATCCTGAAGAAATCAAACAGCATCCCAGGTGAATTCATGCCTATTTTGTGGAGCCTTTGTTCTGGTTCTGGTCTTGGCATGGAGATATGACAGGCTAACTCACTGTGTCATGATGTATGGAAAACTTTAATATCACTATTTAACAATGTAGAATTTGCAATCTAGTGATGTAAATCTAAACAGTTAAAGTAGCAAGTCGATGTCATGAATTCCATGCCCCTGGCCATAGCGAATTGGGACCAACAAATTCAAAGTTTAAAGATCTAACTATCCCAGCATTTGGATTTACTAAAAACTATGGGGGTGGCTGATCTGATTAGATCAAAACGGTTAGGGTTATCTGGATCATAGAACATATCTGTGGTTAATTCATATTTTCAGCCGTAGGAGATTTATGTACTTTCAAGGTTTTGAGGCCACAGCCCGAGTTCTTTTTTGGCCTTTTACCCTTATGCCTTTTATTGCTTTATCAGTCCCCCTTCCCTCTGCCTCTTGCACTCCTTTCTATTTCCTGCTATGTAATTTGGGTGCACGGGTGGGTTGAGTCCTTTCTAGAAACAATACTATTCTCAACTACAGGTTCTACGGTGTCCATAGCCTATCACAGAATATGTTGATGAGACCCAAGGCTGCGTAACTCACTGATACAAACCCCCCCCCCCTTTTTTCGTGCGGGGGGCCCAAAAAGAAAAGTACTCCTCACAATATATATTCAAGCTTGTCATTTGGGATGGAGACATGTTATGGACGTTGGGGGGTCCTATGATATTTGCTTCCCTCCTCCATCTGCTGTTTGGAATTTTTGTTTTTTTCCACATCTTTTGATGGACCTCAATCTTTAGTTGCTTTTCATTTACCCAAAAAAAATATATATATATATTTTAACTGTTATCTATGCAGCCTGGTATTCCCTGAACGTCAGGGACTCTTCATCAATATTTAATCTCACATTGAGTTGTTTTGTGAGGTACTGATGACTTAATTACAGGTTTTCTGAACTCAAGAAATTTTACGGAATTGAAGAGGAAAGGACCTCAACTGGAACTTCAGGCCCACAAACAATGGCTTCAGGATTGTTGTGTATGGATGTTTTATTTATGAGTTTCTTTGACTGAAATTAAAATGGATGCTTTTTAACATTCTGGAGAAATTAATGCAGCTATCACTCTGAAGTGCGTGGGACCATCCATGGGTGAGAAGCCACCATTGACGAAGAAACTGCCAGCAGCAACAACAGTTACACCCAAATACTTTTCTACTGTACCATGTTCTATCTATGTGGGGCAACCCTTACCAATTACCTTATTTTTCTCAGGTTGGGAAGCTAAAGTTACTCTGTGAAAGCTTCTTTAAGCTGCAGTCCGTGAAGCTAAAATTATATCTTCAAGAAGAGGTTTGTTTTTGATACTGAAATATTGTTCTATTTCTTATTTAGTTGCCTGATAAAATTTTTTAAAAATCAGAAGCATTGCCCTCAAAACATTCAGTGAAGGCCTTGATATAATTGAGGAATATTTTCTCTGGTCTGTGTTGTGTACTCAGTTGCATATAAGATATATATACAAGTGCATATTGACAACTTACTAAACTATAGGTCCTGTAAATTAGGAATTAATTAAATGAGCTCACTTAGTAGTTACTACACTTAATGTACCCTGTCCTACTAGATAACGACCAAAACAGCATATCATATTTAACATGCCCCCTCTAGCTTAGTATAAACGTCATCATTCTCAGCTTGGATGCTTGATTGTTTAAAGTTTGTCCCTGGTAGTGCTTTAATAAATATATAAGCAGATTGTTGACTGGAAAGGATGTAGAAGTATTGTTAATGCCTCCATTAATTTTCTCTTTAATGAAATATTTATCTATTCTCACATATCTAGTATGATTATGACGGAGTCTTTGCGATGTCGATGGCTGCTTGGTTATCACAATTTAACTTAATGACTGAGGAGAGGTGGTTAGGTTCTGCTCTTGGCCAAAAAATTTTTTTCTTGCTATAGTCACATGGGTCTTTTTTATTTTCAGGGCTCTCCCCTGCCTCTTTTGCTTGACAACGACATGGCATCTTTATTTGACTTTGGAATTGGCAATGAATCAATTATCCTTGTAGATGAAGAAAGTTAACATAAGTGTAGGGGAATTTCTGCAGACCTCGTGGTGAAATTCTCATCATGTTCCGATTTGCTGCACTGATAATCTTACAAGTGAGCTTGCGTATATGTCTCTCGATTTCCCGTGCTGAGTCTTTATGCATTCAAATTCGTGGCTGGTGTAGGCCCGTGCGTTACAGAAAGCTGTCCCAACTGGTGTGGGCCTGGTGCGTTACACGGGCATGTTTGGGATCACATTTTGTATCTTTAAAAGTGAGTCCTAAAAAAAGGGGACTTCCAAAACCAAAAGGCCATTTTGGGCCGAAATATATGTTTGGCATGGCTTTGGAAGCACTTTTGGGGCAAAAGTGAAGTTGAAGTTGAAGCTTTGTTTTTTTTTTTTTTTGGGCTTTTCTTTATATTTGAATTTCCTGAAGCCAACCTTTTCATATCTCATCCAAATAAATTTACGTCAAACTGTTTTTTGTGTACAAGGATGAGCCTTATTGACTTTTTACCCCAATTTTAATTTGCAAAAGTTTGTTAAAATAAGTCTCTTTTGCAAGTTTTAGTTATGGCAAAAGTTTGTTAAAATAAATTTTAATTTGAAAAATGAGATGTATAATTCGAAAATATTTTTTATGGACATTACTCGCAATCATTTATCTTTAGTTTTAGTTATGGCAAAATCAAAGATTCAAACTTTATTAATGAAAAAAAAATTATATTGAGAAAGTTACTTCTAATTAGGTTGGACAGTGTTTAACTTTGATCTGATAATGTTATTTATCGAATATCAAATAAATATATAAAAATTGAGAAAAATAGACGAACGAATAAACAATACTAACCCCTTATCCATTTGGGTCTGGTTTTGGTGCTCATCATTTGGTGAGTAGTCTGGACCGTCCATATCTAATCTGGACTTTCAAATTCAATATTTTTAAATAATTATTTTAAAATAAAAAATATTATTTTTTATTCTGTATCTATTAAAATAATTATTTTTAAAAAAATAAAAATAAAAATGAAATTAGATTTGGACCGTTCAAATTAAATATGCAGATCCACCGATGAGCACCCAAACTCATTCCTTATCCATTCCATCCATTGCTCCATCTTACGTTACGCAACGTAACGATTATCTGCAAAGTGCAAACACAAGTATGAGGTCATAGTATCGGGCTGGGAAGCTTTTCAATATACCAATACGTTATGGTAACCAGTTCTATTCCAGATATGCCAACAAAGGCATAGAAAATAAAAACCTTGTGCGATGTCTCCAGCTTCAACCGTGTCTGACCTTTCAGGAAGAAATTGATAATGATGTTGATGCCAACCGAGTAGGCAAGTTATTAGTGTTATAAAGATAACAAGGCAACAACAACGTAATTTGAATTTTCTTCTTGCTTCTGTTATTCAGCTCCTTCATAGTTTATGTATAGACCAAGCTCCTTATCTAGCCGTTGGAGCTTGCCTCTTTTTCCCTGCACCTCAAAGCCTTCATTACTAATCTGCGTGTTCCACCTACTATTATTCTTTTACTTCTCTTTAATGACCAACTGCTTTATCCTACTTAAAACTCATATAATTTGATAAATTATCGCATAATGTCTATAAATTTTGCATTCTGTTCCCAGCAGTCAATGTAGGCAATGTTGTTCAAACAACAGAAGCAGTGAAGAGAGGAACACTAATTCTCTTCACTCATACTAATATATATTTTTAACAGTGGTTCTTGATTTATATATTTCTTCATGAAATATTGGAGAAAAATACTTGAAGATCTGACCTTTTTTCCCAGACTGTAGTCATCGCAAAAGATGCGTTTTTGTTTAATAAAAACTTGGTATAGTTTTGTATCCTTACAGATAATCAGAGCCGTGAGATTGGATTTCACATCAATGACTTCGTCATATGTTAGTTTTGCATTATTCTATACAAGAGGATATTGCTAGAAAATGAAGTATAGAAAACAAACAAAGAATCAGTAAACCAAACTTTAGCGGCTGATTGAACCACATCAATTTTTAAAAGACCAAAATAAGGGCTGAGATGAAAAGCAACAGAGTGTCAATGTCTTATTCAAGATTAGAAGGGGAAAACGTTGCCAAAAAACGAAAAACAGGAAAGAAAAAAAAAACATCTGAGGCTTACAGGAATTATACTAAACCTTTCACTTCCTTAGTTTCTTCTCTCTTTGGGTTTTGTTTGACTTTCTGGTTCCAAAGCTCTTGGTGTTGTTTGGTGTTTTCTGTTATTGTTCTTCCTTGAGGGAATATAGATAGAAAAGATGGCTAAAGGTTTGAAAAAAAGCATGTTTGAAGTTCTGGGAATGTGTTGTAATTCAGAGGTGGCTCTGATTGAAAAGATTCTGAAGGGTCTCCATGGAGTCAAGGAGATATCAGTCATGTTCCCGACCAGAACGGTCACTGTAGTCCTTGATCTTGATCTAATCTCTGAGTCACAAATCAGTGAGTACCATATTATTCTTATCCTTTGGAGTAGATAGTTTGATGTCCATGAAGCATCCTTTAATATGAGTTCTGCTAACAACACTTTTTGACTTCAGAATCCATACATGCTCCTCCGATTTTTAGTAGTTTCTAAAGTTATGTTCCTTTCCATTCAAATTTTCTTGATCAAGACGCGACCTCATGTTTTTTGTTTTCATGTCTGCATAATTTGTGTGACTGTCAGCTGACGCACTGAACATGGCAAGGCTTGAAGCTAGTTTGAAACCAGAAGGAGAGACTAAACATGCAACGAAACGGCCAGCACTAAGTACTTTGGCTTGTGGCTTGTTACTTGCACTTTCTTTTTTGAAATATGTTTATCAACCTTTGGAATACTTGGCTATCGGGGCTGTTGTTATTGGCTCCCCGAGAGTTATATTAAGAGGCATAGCTTCCATCAGGAATCTCTCACTTGATATCAACATTCTGGTTCTGTTGGCAGGTGATTATTTTCTTTGTTTGGATTATATTTGATTGAACATTCTTTAGTTTATTCACCAAAGAAAGTACAAAAGAATGCTCAAATCTGATCAACGGGGAAGGAAAGTAAAAAAGCGTATTGTGTCTTGCAGTGTTTGGTACTCTCGCTTTGGGAGATTTCTGGGAAGCTGGAATCATCACCTTCCTATTCTCCATTGCTCAATGGCTGGAGACAGTAGCAAGTTACAAGGTTTGATCCTATAACTTACCCTTCCCTCCCTGACACTCATATCTCAGAGTGTGTAAATGTACCTTAGATTTGTGCTATGATGATAGATAATTGTCCCTTTTGACTTTTCTAAGTTCTGCAAATTTGCAACCTGGCTAGCTTTCAATGAGTGTGATAAAAAACTTCAAACATTCTAACGTGACTCCAGCTGAGAATTTCTCTATATCCTTACTTTTAGATCTCAAAAAAATTTAGTATATTCACACTCACATAAAATATCAGTTGGATGGCCTTGAGTTTATGCATGCTCACCAAAAAAAAAAGATGCTCAAGTGACTAGCACTTTTTAAAGTTTATTTCACACTATATTTGGATGTAGGAGGATGTATGAGAAGGGAAGGAAAGGTAAACTTAATTTTATATTTTAGTCCCGATTAAAATTAACGTCTGCTGAGTCTCTTGGGGATAGTAAACGGCCAACAAATTTATATTACAATTTGACATCTAAGTTCTCGATGTATGGTTATTTTCAATTCACAGGCTATGGTCACCATGTCCTCTTTAACAAACATAGCTCCTCAAAGGGCCATTATTGCTGAGACTGGGGAACAAGTTGATGTCAATGAAGTTAAGATCAACACTGTCCTTGCAGTCAAGGCTGGTGATTCTATTCCTCTTGATGGTGTTGTCGTCGAAGGGAAATGTGAAGTCGACGAAAAAATGTTGACAGGAGAGTCATTCCCTGTCACCAAAGAGCTGGGTTCAACAGTTTGGGCAGGCACTATTAATCTAAATGGTTAAGCATCTTCTTTTCTTTTGGATTCCCTTTTTAACTTCATTTCTTAGAGAAATTCTTTGTCTTAAGTTTGAACATATTTCTGTCTAGGTTATATCAGTGTGAAAACAACTGCATTGGCAAAAGACACAGCAGTGGCAAGAATGACAAAGCTTGTTGAAGAGGCTCATGGCAGAAAATCCAGAGCTCAAAGACTCATAGATACCTGTGCAAAGTACTATGTGCCTGGTCTGTGAGCTTTTGGTTTCAAATTTTGGTCTAAAAATTTGCTAGAGACCTCTTAGAGTATTAGTTCAACTCAAAACCTTAAGAAGATACTTAAATAATACTCGATTTTAGCTACACGATAAATGGATTAATATAAACTATAAGACAACCTCTCACCCCAAGCTACCTAATAGCATAGATTTGAACTCCTGAGATATAAGCATTTGATCATAAAAGTTCTAATATCATGCCAAAAATCACTTTCTGATTCTTCCTGCTGCTTCAGACTCATGATTTGACGAGTGAAAGCAAAATACTTTCACCAGCAAGTCACAAGTTCAAGAGGCTGCCAGAGACAATTTAAACTAGTCTTTTCCTTCTCCAATAAAAACAAATGCATAATTTTTAGGGCTCAACGCCCACATAATTGGATTGTTAACATAATTTCCTCCACATATCATGTTTTCATTATAGAACCTAGCAACATAAACCTATAAAACTTTACTTAATTCTAGTGCTTATATTTATCTATTATGCAGCAGTATCATAGTCCATTGACTAACCATTCAGAAAGCATTTTCACTGATTTCAAGCTAAATTGCAGGGGTTTTCTTGATATCAGTTGGCGTTGCTGTGATTCCCATAGCATTAAGGGTTCCCAACATTAAGTATTGGTGTCACATGGCTATTGTGGTTTTAGTAAGTGCATGCCCTTGTGCTCTTATCCTCTCCACACCTGTCACAATCTTCTGTGCCCTCACAAAAGCTGCCACAAGTGGGTTGCTTCTTAAAGGTGGAGATTATGTAGAAGCGCTTGCTGGGATTAAGATTCTGGCCTTTGATAAGACGGGCACTTTAACAAAAGGGGAGTTCAGTGTCACAGATTTTTCTGCTGTTGGAGATGATATTAGCATTCCACTGTTACTTTACTGGTAAGTCCTACCAATCAGGCAAAAACATGCTATTACATTGGATCTGGAAAATATACAGTTGGTTATAATTGTCATTTAGACCTATTGGAGTCTATTTAGTTTTCCTCAATCTGGTCTATCTAAGAACCTCTTAATTGAAAAACCTTTTAGGGTTGCTAGCATTGAGAGTAAATCAAGTCACCCTATGGCAGCTGCGTTATTGGATTATGGAAGGCTACATGGTATCAAACCAATCCCTGAAAATGTGGAGGATTTTCAGAATTTTCCAGGGGAAGGAGTTTATGGTAAAATCGATGGGAAAGATGTTTATATTGGCAACAGGAAAATATGTGTGAGAGCCGGCTGCCAAAGTGGTACAAATAACAATGTCGTTCAAGCTTCAAACATCATGTCTTTTAGAAGTTCATATTATGAATATATTTATGTAACTTAATGACCTTTATATTATTGTTCAATTCAAATATCGGGATGCAGAGTTTCTAAGCAAGGAAGAAAGAAATGGTTATATATGCAGTGGATCAACTCTAGTTGGATTGTTCACCCTATCAGATACATGTAGATCTGGAGCTTTAGAGGCAATAGAAAGGCTGAAGTCATTAGGCGTTAAATCAGCGATGCTGACCGGAGATAGCACTCATGCTGCTACGCTTGTTCAGACTCAGGTATGCCTATAGTAATCTACATTTGACTTGTGATGGAGACTTGATAGCCACAATGAACAATATGGAATGCTTAAGTCCCACAATCAAGTAATATGGGATGTTTAAAGGGTATTTAAGTGGATTGGTTCGCACATCTTAATAGCTACTTAGCTGGCTTTCCGGGTAGGCTTTCTCCTCCTACTTAGGTACCCAACACTCTATGTGACTTGCTGTAAATATACATTAAACTAATGGTTCACTTGCTTCTTGCAGCTGAATCATGCTCTAGGCATAGTTCATGCAGAGCTTCTACCACATGAAAAGGCAGTGATCATAGAAAATTTCAAGAAAGATGGGTTGACAGCCATGATTGGAGAGCCATGATTGGAGACGGTATAAACGACGCTCCAGCATTAGCCACAGCTGATGTGGGCATCTCAATGGGAATCTCGGGTTCAGCTCTGGCAGTAGAGACAGGGCACGCAATTCTCATGTCAAACGACATCAGGAAGATACCTGAAGCCATTCATCTGGCAAGAAGAACTTTCAGAAAGCTCGTTCAGAATGTCGTTTTCTCCATTGTCACAAAGGGTTTGATCCTAGCTTTGGCACTAGCAGGATACCCACTGGTTTGGCTCGCCGTTTTGACTGATGTTGGAACCTGCTTGCTTGTGATTCTCAACAGCATGTTACTTCTGAACGAGAAAAAACACAAGAACAAAAACGTACCCAGTAAACCCAAATACGGGTTGTTCACAAAGGATAAGAACGAGCCATTACTTGAAAAGCAAACTGATTGTGGAGAAGGATGCTGTAGCAATTTCTCCCGTGAAGTGACCATTCCAAGTACCGCAACTGCATGCAAAAAAGCTTGTTGTTCAGATTCTGGGCCTTCGAATCTGAGCTTGCTGGAGGAAGGCCACTGTGGGAAAGTGGTGTCAGACGATTGTCGAAGGTCAGAAACTTGCAATAATGGGTGTTGTGGCAAAGTAAGGGGCGAGGAGGAGTCTTCATGCAGAAAGAAGAGAAGTTGTAGCTCAGATTGTTGCCAGCTGCAGAACACAGAAGTGAAGGTTACTACAGAGAAGTGTGGGAGTCAACAATGCTGCAAACAATCCAGGAAGATGTGCTGCGTTGATAGGGTTAACATGCCAGAAATTGTTACTGAGTGATAATGCTCTGTGATGAGAATGAGAGTTATGTGAATATTTCCCACTCGCTCCACCAGGTATTGTTAAGTAAGACCAAGCTCAAAATCAGTGGCAGTATTCACAACTACGGAGCACGAGCAGCGACGGGGAAAGGAAACTCTGAAGGATTTGATCATTCCACTCCATGTCTCTCTTTGAATAATGGGTGACACAAAAGTGGTTTGTTCTGTGATATAGAATGCGCACACATTAAGTATTTAACAACTTCAATAATTGAAATGGTTTTCCCAATGGAATTCTTTTTTTTGGACAAAAAAGGTATATGGGTCAACGATAATATGATGCCGATGACCACTTGGTAATAGCATAAGCCCAGTTCCAAAGTTTGTTTCACTTGTCCAACAGCTCAAGCCCCAAATTATGGATGAGAACCCTCATTATAATTAGAAAGCCATTGACCAACAAGCGTTTGGCTTAACTGCCAGGGAGTTTCATCAATTTAACTGGAAGTCTAGAGTTTGAATCTTTGAAATGCTACAGCAATAAATACGCAGTAGGCAAGCCAAAAATACCAGATAGTCCAATCCAAAAAGAGAGAGAAAGAAAGGCATTCCATTTTTGTTTTCTAGGGACTTTAGTATATGCATACATTTCACTTTTCATATGAAAAGGTATGCTAAATCATTTGTCCCATTTTATTTTGCATGTTAGGAAAATCTAAAGTCAAAATAATCATTGATTCTTAATAATCGAATAATTGTTAGGCAGAAACATCCCGGTCATTCTGATTTTGTTGTCGTACAGCTAAACGGGCAACCCCATGCCTTTGATCCACCCCAACTTGACGTATTAGCCTGACCTGATTTTTGTTTTTCTTTTAAAAAAAATAATTTGGCGCGGCCCAGCCCACTCCTTGATGGCAATAGGAAGTTCAAAAAATATCCTTATATTAACAACTACCATTTATGTCGTGTCATATTAACAGCTACCTTTTCTAAAATGGGTATCAAAGTATCAATTTCCTATAGCTAATGATATTATAGCTTAGTGGCATAAAAGCTTTTCTATGATGTTATGGATACCATCTCATTTGTAATTGCTTGCCTCTTTTTTTTTTCAAAAAAAAAAAAAAAAAAGCCTCCAGGTACCCGAATATTATCCTGCCTATCTTTTTGCACTTGACAGTTTTCAATGCTCTTGTCTGTTTATAATAATTCAATTCATCAGAAACTTGATCCTAAAGTTGTCAAATACATCTATGTGGGGTACTCTTTGAACAGCATAGAGTTCAAATGATGTCCATCAACCAAATAATTATATGTTTCATCGAATGAATCTTGCCTTGAAAAACAAACTTTCTTTCCTCCCAACACTCTTCAAGGAAGGAACATAGATGAAGGAATCTTGGGATCGCCAATTCCAGACTTCGCCATTACCTACATTATCTATGTCTTCATACCCACGGAGAACATCCTCCTTTAGAGGAGATCCACCTCGCCTTGTGATGCCAGATACACACGTCATCTACTGTAAAAACTCTTATGAACAAGGTTCGCAGAGTCTGGCTTTGTCAAATTCCAGAGATAAGAAAATAACATTTCGCCCAAAATAAAGAAAAAGAAAAGAAAATGACATATCCTTAGTAACCATGTAACGGGAGAAATTAGCTTAGTCATGGACGAGCAAATTATTCTGCAATCATAAATCATACATAAAAAAAATGCATTAGATAATATTGCCAGCCTTAGAAGGCAAATATTGGTTTTCTTCTCTTCCCTCATGATTACAAATACAGCAACATTTCTAGGTACACAGCTCGACCTTAGATTAGAGGTTGCTAAGTGAGATAAAAGAACAATAAATTCTGACTTCGACATTACTTGATAATAAGATTACACGGATCAGACTCAGCTTTTTGGGGTTGGAAAACAACCGAAGAAATCATATCAATAGCAGTCGGTCAAAAAACCCAGACATGCCAGACCCTCTTGTTCTACAGCACAAGTAAGAAGGCACAATAAGTATACTCAAAATGAGAATTTTCATATCCCACACTCGGAAAATCCTGCACACCAACACCAGGCACCAACTGCAGGTTATGGAAGGCACATATTTTAAGGAAAAAAATATTCAGAAGTAAAGACATTACTGGCCCGCCAATGCATGTTATGCACCCTGTACTTTGCTTGATATTTCTTTTGCTTTCATATCCCCCTTTTCCTGCAGAGAATAAGCCTCAAAAGAATTCAAAAATCAGAATATAATGTGCAGTGATGACCTAATAAAATCATGTCAATAAGCCAAATCATATGAATGTTCTGGTTCAAATTTACACCCCAGTTATAAACCACAATGATCAGTTGAATCAGTGCAAGATGCAGGGACCATTTACAAGCCATGGTTATTTAAAAATGATTTATACCGTTCCTCTATTTACTTTTCGTTTGTGAACCTTAAGATGACAAAGCCGTTCAATTGGAGGCATAACCTCTCCCTCATATTAAACTGAAAGGCCTTAGCTATGCCCTCTTTTCCAATATTGGAACTTAAAACCCATCATGAACTGTATGACCACCTTTTCACCTCAAGCAAGCAGAGGGACAACTTTGAGAATCTACCCGCTCCTCTAAATGAGCTCAGATTATTATGAGGACTACAGTGTATCGCAAGAGGGACAAAAGTAATACTATATCTCCCTACCCACCCTTTATAGCCCTACAACCATCACTGAATCCTCCATAGCAACATAGCATAACATTTTCAGTACCCAAATTCCGAGAGCAGTTTCGCTGCTCATCACTTTGAAACAAGGTAATGAAAGAACATCCAGATTTCAAAGCCTTGCATGCTATCGGAAAAAGCTTACATCGATTTTGAACACTAATATTTTAGAAATAAATGAATTGCTCACCATTCCCTTGCTCTCATAATAATCATCAAGCGCCCACTGGTACTTGGATTGGTTCAAGCCAAACCAGCGTGCTAAATGGTCATCCAAACTTGAGTGCACTGTCAAAATTGAACAAGAGAATCAAACAAAATGTCGTATCCATCGTTATGTAATAGGGTACGAAATCATCACTAAAACAAGCAACGCATTTAGTGTTCTTGTTCCGAGACCAATACTCAATTACACAATCTCACGCGGTGTTCATTTTGACGACTTCTACCCAAAAAAAAAAAAAAAAAAGAACCTGAGAAGACAGAATCCAGGGTTTCCTTTACTAGCACATCTTGAAGATAAATGGGTAACAAAACTTAGTTTATCTGTTTTCATACCCAAAAAATAGTGGGAAAAGAACTCAGATATTCAACACTAGGAGAAACTATAGTTACGACTGAATTATGAGCAGCATTGCAGAAAATATGTAAAACATAATTAACAGCTAAAAAGAGCCAAAATAACGTCCTGGCAAACCCAAAAACAAAATGATTGCAAGAATAGTGAAATGTAAAAATTATGGAAGAAAGACAAAATAGCTAATAACTATGTAAAACAAAGACAAAATCAAGCAAAAATTGTTCAACATGCCAAGACAAGTCCAGGTCATGTCCATTACGACAACATACCAGTCTGCACCTTATTAACCGCATTCTTGAAAAGCCCCGAGACGGAACCAGCATCAACAGAAGGCTTGTGAAAGACCTGGGGCGGAGGCTGAACCGGAGGCGGCGAGATCTTCTTGGGGGAGTCGAAAACGGGGTCGGAGGGCTTGGGGGTAGAAGGCGGCGTCATGAAAACAGTGTAAGGGCCAATTTTGCCTATGACAGGTGGAGGAATAGATTCCTTGTTGATAGGCATTGTTTGATTGAAGGATTGAAACTGACGGAGATTGGAGAGAATCAGAAGAGATTTTGGAATTGAGATAGGGAAGACGAAAGAGGAAGCCGAAGTGAGAACTGAGAGAAGGGAGTGAACACACTGAACTGTACACCGCACGCTGCTCCAAGTGGGGCGGATCGTTGTCGTGCTTTTGTTTTTCCATTGGTTGTCCCCACCTCAAGGGTAAGTTTGGAAGTTTACAATTCTTCCTGATGCTTTTCATCGAGAAAACCATTCCCATGCATTTACAATCCTTCCGTCGTTATTAAATAGTTGATTTATAAAATTAAAAAAAATTAAAAAATTAAAAATATTTTTATTTTTAAATATATTCTTATAAATTTTAAATATGCATAAAAAAACGTGATAAGAGGGTATGGTAGAGAGAAAATAAATAATTAAAGGCAAAAATAAAACAATACATTAAATATTTAGACAAACTCCAAATTGAATCTTATAAAATAGATTATGCTCCTATTCAAATTTGAAACTTACAAATAGTACCAAAAGGAGTATCATGCTTAATATAAGGTCTACTTAAATTGAGTATATTAAGAAAACTAGTTAAATTAATTATTTATCAAAATATATGTTACTATTTATAAAATATCCTCTTAAATCATTTATATTGAAACTAAATATTGGTATAAATTTTCTTAACATACTCAATCAATATGGATATTTTAGACAAAAATAGAAGACAAAATAGATTGAAATATCATATTTAATATTAAACTTAGCTGCAAACTAATTTTTATATTAGAGAATAAATTAAAGTTAAAGAAACAATTAATGATATTAAACATAGGGCTAATAGAGCAAAGTTCAAAAAAAAAAAATAAAACAGTATAGATATGAAATTAAAAATAGAAAAACGTATAAGTACGAAAAAAAAATGGAAATATTATCTATATCTTCATAGCTTAGTTTTTCTTCTTTTGATTTTTGAAAAAAGAAATTAATTTTTTTGCCACGATTAAATTAGATGTTGAGTCCCATACATTGTATGCATGAGATTTTAGTTAGTCATATTGATTGATTCTAATCATTGCATATATATTTATTATTTTTTTGACCCCCTTGATTCAATGTTTCTGCCAGTTCGAAATTAAATGGCGGTGGATTTCCAGGTTTCTGAATAATACGACTGAAAATTTGTTGTTTTCCTCTTCCAGTTGTCACCTTTTAACCTTTTCCAGAATTCCAGTTGCAAAATTTGAAAGATGAATTCATTAGAAACTATTTTGCACGATAATTAATGTGCTTTTGAAAATACTATTTTATAATTTATAATATGCTTCCCTATAATTATCAATTTTGAAAATGAAAATTGCAATGATAGCTTGGACCTTGGAGGGTAGAATCTATGGCTCATTTACTGTTTGCTTCCCTGAGAATAAAGGCATCTTAGAGAACTTGGAAGTGGGAGAAAACAAAGTTCAAAAGGCTCCCCTTTGGCATCTGAAGCGTTTTACAGAGAAATGGGGTGAAAATGAGCTCAAAAATGAGTTTAATATGATAATAGAATTTTTATATATTTTTTATTTAGTATATGTAAATAGTAAGTGTGAAAAAAAGAGAAACGTGTCTAAAAAATTTATTTTACTAATTATGAAAATAAATTCATTATAGTAAATATAACTCGATCCAGTCTTACAAATTCCAAATAAGTCTTGTTTAGTCCCACTTTTTAGTATTGAAGATGTATAATAATTTATTAGTGGTTGCTTATTAAGTTAAATAAAAACAGTTTAACTTTGGAAATAGAAAGGCAGGGTCCAGAGAGACCAAAAAAGAAGAAAAGTGCAAGAAAAGGAAAGCATCGTTTCAAAAGCACTCTTCGGAAAAGTTAGTGAGGCATTTCAAGTTTTGATGGCATTTGCATTGACAAAGAAAGCCTATACATTTTGCTGGCACCATCACAAGAAATAGTGGGAATCCACACCCCAACACACACTTTATTATTATTATTATTTTTTCCAAAGGCAAACTTCATTCTACTGAGTCACAAATCAATTAAACATAATTTTAAGCAGCCCCAGTTTCTTCATTTTGTTCCAATCCAATTCCCTCCGAATACTATATGATAAAAATTAATATTTTAAATAAAATATGTTATATTATTAAACATGTTGAAGGTCTTTATAAAGTAAGAAGTCCAAAACTCTAGACTTCACTATTCTCAACAGATCAAATTTATATTTCACCCCAAAAAGAATATATTCCTCCGGTCCTTAATATAAAACTCAATTGTTGAGTTAGTTTTAATCCTAAATATAAAACCTATTTCTCATATTTATCAATTTTCTCTAAATTACCCTTATGGATACTCTCTTAACCATAATCAAGTAGAAGAGGAAGATGAGATATTAAAAAAGATAATTATGGTTTTTGTAGGAAAAATATATCACTTTTCTTATAATTAATTAGCTTACCTAACTTCCTTAATCTAGTCAAATTAGTTAAATGAGTCTTATATTAAGAACCGGAGGAGTAGTTAACATGAGTCTCATACTTTATACTCAAACATAGATTTAGTTGTATTATCTTACCAAAAAATAAATAAATTAAGTTGCAATATCCATCATTTATGAAGAGTATCAATCTATACATTTTTCATCATATATGGATTTATAGATCGGTTTCACCAATTATGCAAATCCTACTATGTGGTGTTCATCCTGCAAGAATAAGATTCGAGACTATTCAGATATGCTGTGTGAGAAAAAAAATAAATTACACACTTCTGAACATATTGGTTAGAAAATGAAAAATAAAAATCAAACTTCTTTTCCAGCCTGAGGCTGGGCAGAAAATCGAATAAATCCATTCCAATGGAGGTCCAAATGGTTTGACAATTTGGGGGGTGGGGGGGGGGTAACAAAAGAGAAGGCACAATCAAATAAGAGTTCCAAATTATTTATACACACACTGAAACCATAAGAGGTTAGGCTGCAGCAGTCCTCCAGAGCTGCACTAAGAAGTCCAAATCTGAGCCATCCACGATCCATTTTGCAGCCGACAAAATGTAGAAACTTTGTTTCATACAATAGACCCAATTACGTTACTATGAACATGCAACTTTTTTTTTTTTTCTCCTTTGGTTTTCACGGTTCAAATTACAGGACTTAAACAGGAACAAGACACGTTAAATCAAGTCAGAAGCTACCCTAATACGCTACCTACTTGTTATCAGACACTACTAATCTATTCAGGAAGAATAATTCATTGTGCGTACTGAAGGGCAAAGTCTCACACAACCTCAAAAAACAAACACGGTCTCATGTCCCTCATTCAAAAGTTCCCTTGCCAGAACCGGTTCAACCTTAAATGAAAAACGCATTGAGCACACAACGTAATACAAAAGTTCTGACCAGAGCATTGCTTGTCAAGTCATCAGTGACCAACCCAACCTTTAGCCGCCAACCGATGCTCATAGTGATTTTCACATTTTCTGAATAGAGCCTCGTGATAGTCCCTTCATTACAGCTAGCAATTTGTCCATTAACAGAATAGCTAATTTACAGAACTTGCCAGAGAAAGCTCATGGAGCTCGCCTAGCATCCATTCCTCTCCAGTTTGACCACCCAGTACAATAGCTCTTGTCCCTCCAACAACACACGTACTGTGTCCCCAAGCAAATCTAGGAGGGCGTCCTGGTACATTCAGTATTCTCCATGTAGGTTTCTCTTCGGTGGGGTCCAGGATGTAAAGCTGGGAAGCAGAGTGAAGACCTGCAACAGATCCACCAAATATCAGGATTCTCCCACCCGGGAGACTAACCGCAACATGATCAAGTCTAGGAGGGGGAGCTATGCCCCCAGGATTCCCAGCACCGGGCATTCCACTCCCAGTTACACATCTCCAACATGGTTCCTCCTCACTTAAGTCCATGGTGAATACATCACTGGAACGAAACCTCAGAGGCCCACTCTTAGCAAGACCTCCAAACATTAGTATTTTCCTCCCCCCATAAACAGATAGTGTGTGCCCTAGGCGAGAAGGTGGAGTCCATGCCACAGGTATCTCTCTCCACACTGGTTTCTCCATAGACAGGTCAAGGAGGAATGTGTCACTCAAAAGTACTCCAGAATCTGCACAGCCACCAGAAACTATTAGCTTGGTACCATCAAGAGTACAGGAGCTGTGCCATGATCTTGGAAGCGGAGGTGCCAATCCAGATATTTCACGCCAAGTAGGAGGCTTCGCATCCAGGTCCAGCACAAAGACGTCATTGAGCAAGCCCTGCCTTCCACAGCCTCCAAATACAACCAAATTAGAACCATTTACACAGGAAATTGTGTGGCCCCAACGACCAGGAGGAGGAGAACTCACCTGGACGTGTTGCCACTCCGGATTTTTTGAGTTTAGATCCAGCACAAAGGTGTCATTCATAGGCTGCATATTGACACCTTCACCACCAAATAAGACTACCCTATTACCAACAGCACAGGCACTAAAATTACAGCGTGAGGGTTCAACAGCACCTCCAACAGTCAGCTTTCTCCATGCTGCGGCTTCAAGAGTAGTCAACTCTCTTGCCAGCCGAACCCATCCAAGTCTCCTTGCACCAGGCACAGTCTCTAAAACACGTGTAGTTTCACTACCCCATGCATTTTGACACACCATTCTCCAAAGACTTTCATTTTTTGTCAGTTCATATAATTGCCTGCAGACAGAGCTAACAGAAGCAATATCTCTTGGAGTTAGGCGGGAAAGTATCTTGAGAGATATTACCTCATCACTCAATTGCAGAATCCCACAAACTCCACGAGATACATTACGGTCCCCCGCTGAAAGGGGACTCAACGTTGAAAGAGCAGTACGAAATTTATCAGATGACTTGGCAGATTCCTTCATTGCAGGAGCCAGTACAGGACCAAGATCAATATTTGCCTCTGTGAAGAACTGGATTCCAATGACATGTGTTATTGTCTCATCATCTCCATATATAGGTGTCAGCCGCAATCTGTTCATCAGTGGAGATCCATCTTTCCTAAAGTTTAATAACTCACCTTGGAACTCAATCCCCTCATCAAGACACCTCCTAATTTCAGAAACTACAGCAGAGTCCACCAATGGATGCCTTCTTTTAGCAAATGGACCACGA